CGGGACAACACGCCGTCAACCTTGAGCGCCCCCCAAGCACCTCACCTTGACCGCGTCTCGCGGCCGCGGGGGGCGCCTCTGGACACCACGGCGTCAACCTTGAGCGCCATCCTGGAACCCCCCTTTGACCGCGCATCGCGGCCGGGGGGGCGCCTCGGAACACCACGGCTTCAACCTTGGACACCCCCCGGGCACCCCCCACTGACCGCGCCTCGCGGCTGGGGGGGCGCCTCGGGACACCACGGTTTCAACCTTGGACGCCCCCCGAGCACCCCCCCTTGACCGCGTCTCGCGAGCACCACGGCTTCTCCCTTGGACGCCCCCTGGGCCAGCCCGCTGCCACTTCCTCCCTCCTCCCTCCCTCTCTTGCTCCTCCTCGCCCTCTTCCCCCCGTCCTTCATCCTTTGCGCCCTTCCTGCCCCTTCCTTCGTATGCAGAACACTCGGCATCCCAGTCCCCGTACCAGAGCCTCTCCCCCTTGCTACTGAGAATCCTCCTCCTCCTCCTCCTCCTCCTCCTCCTCCTCCTCCTCCTCCTCCTCCTCCTCCATCTCCTCCTCCTCCTCCTCCTCCTCCTCCTCCTCCTCCTCCTCCTCCTCGCCCCCCGCTCTTTGTATTTTGTTCCCCCCTCCCCCTTCCGAGGGCACTAACCCGAGGGCACCAACCGCCATCGACGGCGAATCGCAGCAGGCAAAGCACGCGGGACTTGGGAACGTCGACGGCGAATAGAATATTCGACGCCTGGTGTCGCATCCCAAGGAGGGTGTTGACAGGCCCTAATCCGAATCGATATATCCGGGAGCCTCTCCGGGAACATCGTGTAGGACGTGTACGTGAGGCCACTGTGGCGCTCATCGGGATCTCGAGGGAGGCCTCTAACTCGGAAGCGATGTCCCCAAAAACCGCTTTGGGAACGTCGTTTATGGCGTAGACGCGTGGCCTCTGAGAGGCTTCTGGGGGCCTCTTAGGAAGCCTCAGAAGCCTATTGGTAGCTATTGGGGGACCTCTGTGACGCGTATTGGTGTCTCGAGGGCGGCCTCGAGGTCCGATTCAACATCACCGGAAACCTCTCTGGGAACTGCATGTGGGATGTGGACGCATGGACTTCAAAGGATTGTTGAGGTCTTTGGGGAAGCCTCTCGGGAGCCTTTTGGAAGCATGTCGGGGCCTCTTGGAGGCCGGCTGGGGGGCTCTTTTTGGCTTCTTGGGGGCCTCAGAGGCCTCTGGGAAGCTTCTGGGAGATCTGCTGGCGGTCTCCGAGGACTTCCTGGGGCGGGGGGCTCGAAAGTTGAGTTCGAGCTCATCCTCAGGGGTCTCTCTTGGGGCCCTCTTGGAGCCTCGTTGGCCACCTGGGGCGCCTCTCAAGCCGTCTTGGGTCTCTCTTGGGCCGTCTTGAAACATCTTTGGGGGCTTCGTGGGCCGTCTTGGGGCGATCTTGGGGCCCCCTAGGCCGCGCTGGGCTCTGTTAAGACGCAAAATCGAAAGTGCTAAATTGCATCTCGGAGGCCATCGTGGATGCTTTGGGAGCGCTCTCGGATGCGGAAGACACGAAGGGCAGATAATGCAAGGCCACAGAGAGCAACGACGGGACCACTGAGGGTAGCAGCGGGGCCACGTAGGACAGCGAGGGGGCCACAAAGAGCGACAGCGGGGCCACGAAGGGCATGCATATGGGGCCACGATGGGCGCGAACGAGCGGGGGCCACGAAGGGCATACGTATAGGGACGCAGAGGGCAAGGACGGAGCCACTGAGGGCAACAACGGGGCCACGAAGGGCAGCGAGGGCGACAGCGGGGCTACGAAGGGCACCGAGGGGCCACGAAGGGCTGCAACGAGGCCACGAAGGGTACCGAGGGGGCCACGAAGGGCTGTAACGGGGCCACGAAAGTCACCGAGGGGGTCACGAAGGGCTGCAACGGGACCACGAAGGGCAGCGCGGGGGCCACGAAGGGCTGCAACGGGTCCACCAAGGGCAGCGAGATCCCGATTCCTCAATAAGCTGTGACGGAGTTCTAAGGGTGAGCGCGAGGGTGCCTGAGTGTCAGGAGCGTGGCGCTTGAGTAAATTGCAGGGAAATCCAACGCAAGAGCGCGATTCTTGAGCAAATTGCAGGCAAGTCTCCAGAGAGAGCGCGACCCCAGAGCGCCGAGAGAGCGATTCCTGAATAACTCATGAAGAAGTCCCAAGCGAAAGCGCGATTCCTGAGCAACATGCGAGGAAGTCTCGGGCGGGAGCGGGGGTCCTGGCAACAACAACAATAAGTTTAAGACTGTTCGCTCTTATCTGCTCGCGTGTCATTCAATATGCATATCCCAAACCCTGGATACCCGCCCTCTTCGTCTTCGATCGTACCCCCTTTTGGGGGGTATGTTCATTCCCTGCCACGAAGGGCAGCAACGGGGCCACGAAGGGCAGCGAGCGAAGGCGACCGCGGAACCAGTACGGGCAGCGAGGGGCATCGAAGGCGGGCGGAGGGCAGCGAGCGGCGACTGCAGTCCCTAACGGGCTGGTCGGGCGGGCAGGCCCAAACGGGCGGGTCGAGCGAGCGGGTCGTTGAAGCGTAAATTCTGCTTGATCCGCGTAGCGGGAGCGCGATTCCTGAATGTCGAGGAGCGGCATCTGAATAAATTGTGAGGAAGTATCAGGCGGGAGCCGCGATTCGGTGGTAAGTTGCGAGGAAATCCCAAGCGAGAGCGCGATTCTTCAATCAATTGTGAAGAAATATCAAGCGGGAGCCGCGATCGGGTGGTAAATTGCACATACGTCCCAAGCGAGAGCGCGATTCTTCAATAAACTGTGCGGAAGTATCAAGCGGGAGCCGTTGTTGTTGTTGTTGTTGTTGTTGTTGAACTCTCATTCTTAAAGAATAACTATTGTTGATCCCCCCCCACCGGTGCACATTGATTTTTTTCGATTGAAGTGCCACCCCCGGGGCTCGCACCTTGTTTTTTCTCAAAAGAAGTTTTCCTGCTCAAACTGTGCCCCTGCCCCCCGGGCTACAACAACAACGGCTCCCGCTTGAGACTTCCTCGGTTTTTACTCAGGACCCCCGCTCCCGCCTAAGACTTCCGCGCAATTTACTCAGGAAAGGCGCTCCCGTTTGAGACTTCCTCGCAATGTAATCAAGACCCCCGCTCCCGCCTGAGACTTCCGTGCAATTTACGTGGGAACGGCGCTCCCGCCTGAGACTTCTTAGAATTTTACTCAGGACCCCCGCTCCTGCCTGACATTTCCCCGCAATTGACTCAGGAACGGCGCTCCCGCATGAGATTTCCTCGCAATTTAATGAGGACCCCCGCTCCCGCCTGAGACTTCCGTGCAATTTGCTCAGGAACGGCGCTCCCGCTTGAGACTTCCTCGCAACTTAGTCAGGGCCCCCGCTTCCGCCTGAGATTTCCTCACAATGTATTCAGGACTGCGCTCTCGCGTGCGACGTCCTCACAAATTATTATGGAATTGCGTTTCGGCGCTCAGGAACCACGCACGCGCCAAGGACGCCTTCACAACGTGGTATCTTCCCTCTTCCTTCGTCCTTCCCCCTCCCCTTCCTCCCACTCTCCCTCGTTCTTCCCCTCCTCCTCTTGCAGGGCCCGCGCCAATTCCAATGGCGGGCAGAGAGATGTACGCCCCCGAAGGATTGTCCGCCCGTTCCGGTTTGCCCGTACGTCTAAGCCCGCCGGCCCCAGCAAAGAGAAATAATCCCCCCGAAAGGGGTGTGATCGAAGACGAAGAGGGCGGGCATCGAGGGTGTAGGGTATACGTGTTGAATGACTCGCGGGCAAGTAAGAGCGTACAGCCTTAAAATGGTTGTTGTTGTTGTTGTTGTCGTTGTTGTTGTTGTTGAACATTATTTCTTCCTAAGAATAATTATTGTTGGGACCCCTGGTGCGCGACCCCCCCGCCGCGCCTAGGCCGCAGCCTCATTTTCATCACTTCCGTGAGGAAGTCTCAGGCAAAACGGGTTGGTCCGGATCCGGTTGTGTTGTTGCGATCGGTTTTCCCTTGTAAAAAATAAGCTAAAGTGGACACTTCTTGTTCTAACATAACCAAACTTCAAGAATCCCTTGCAAAAAATGAGGTAAAGTGGACATTCGCGCGCGCAAGACGAAATCCTTCCAAAACCTTAGTTTTCGTAGCGATTTTAACATAAAAACATCAAAAAACCAATGGTTTTTCAAAAAAAAATGTCAAAAATCATCCCGCGCGCTCTTGCGGATTCGTAGGAAACCCAACACTTTTTAATCATTTCTGTCAAACGGGCTTTTGCGAGCAACTTTTTCGAACTTCTGCAACAACGGTTGCGCACCTGCCAGGGCCATCATCCCTGTCAAATAATACCATGCGGGACACATTCGTTTTTTCTTCGCGCGCGCACGCCGTCGTCGTCGGCCGCGGGGCCCTGAATAGTAGCCACGGTCGTCCGCATGCCACGAAGTGAAGTGTCCGAACGTCATAGGGCGGGAAGCTGGGTGTGGGTGGTGGCGAAGAGTCGTTTGGAAATTTGGTAGAGCTTGAACCGGCCCCCCCACAAAGTGGGGGTATTGCCCGCCTCCTATGAAAACCCTGGCACTGGTGAGAACGGTGTGTCCCCACGTGCTAGTAATTGTTGTTGTTGTTGTTGTAAACCGGGGGCCAACGACACAGTTTGACCCTCAAGATTTTCCCTGATAAAAAACGGGGTGCGAGCCCCGGGAAGGGCACTTCAATCGAAAAAAACAATGTGCACTGGACGGGGGGGATCAACAATAATTATCTTCAGATATGAGTTCAACACCAACAACAACAACGACGACGACGACGACGACACCAACAACAACATCATCATCATCATCATCATCATCATCATCACCAACAGCAACAACGACGACAACAACAACATCATCATCATCACCAACAACAACGAAATGTGGACATCCCGCGCGACGGCTTCCGCGCTTCTGCATCGGTGTTGGCAGCGGCAGGCCGCCTCTGGCCACAAAGGAGGCGGGGGAAGGCCTTCTGCGGACGCAGCGAGCGGGAGACGAGGCAGCGCAGGCAAACGCGCTCGAGGGGCTCTGCGCAACCTCGGAGCCCCCGACAGGTGCGGTGACTACACCATGCAGTGTCGCTGGGAATGCGGGGTCCCTGTACGGCTTTGAGGGGCTTGGGTCGCTCTCCGAGGGCGTGTTGGGGGACCGAGGCCTCCGAGGTCCCAGAACCGTGCAGTGACGGACAATGCAGTAAGGTCGTTGGAGATTCCGAGGTCACCGCACGGGGTCACCGCACCGTTTCGGAAGCCCCAAGCAATTTGAGTTGAGAGCCCTTCTTTTCAGAGACGCGAGGTGTGCCCGAACAAATGCCCCGCGAAAGACTCCAAATGGCCACGCAGCCCTTCTACACAACACGCTCTGCTCTGTCCGCGACACTCTTTAACCATGGTCTCTGTGATTGCCCACTGGAGACTACGTGCAAGGACACGAGACAAGGAAAACCATATGTTTGTATATGACGACGCTTGGAGGGAGCTAATCACGATCGCATACTTAGAAATGCCGTCGAAGGGGATGCGAGCTGTTTGTGTGACCAAGGCCCGCTCGACAAAAGAATCCTGCTTCTGAGGGTCTTCGCCTCTGCACCCGATTGACCAAACGCCCATGCGGCCTCGCTGCTGGCAGGCGCTGGCCACTGGCCCCTACCACTACGTCTGAGCCTGGGGGCAAGAGGCGGGAAGAGCGCCGAGGTGGCCCGGCGGCCACGCGGCAGACCGGTCAGGCGCTGCCACACACCGCACTCCTGGCCTTGTGGCCGAGGCTCGCGGCCAGAAGCCACGCGGCCCTGGCCATGAACCAGGACGACCTCAGCGGCCCCGCAATGCGGATGGCCGTCAGCAGACCCGCCGCCTGCGCGAGCGGCACGCCGCACATGAGCGCGTCCTGGTGGGCTTGCTTCGTCCACCGCCACCACCAGAAATAGGAGGGGGAGGGCGTCCTCGTCCTCCTCCTCTTCCTCCTCCTCCTCCTCATCATCCTCCACCTCCTTCCCCAGTCCAACCTATGGCGGTGGTGGTGGAAAAGAAGCGCATCACGTCCTGGCCCGTCATCCAAAGGCCGGGCACCGGCGTCCGCATGTCCAGCAGCCGCATGACGCCGTAGTCGGTAAAGCGGCAGCCGACGCCTGCCGCAGTGTCCAGGCCGATGGCGGAGCCGCTGCCCGTGGGCAGGTAGTGCTCGATGGTCTGCGGCGTAGAGAGGTCGAAGAGCTCGATTTTGCCCTCGAGCTGAGGGTATATGGACAGCAGCACCGACCTGAGGCGCTCGATCCACCTCCCCTTGAGGTCCTTGTACTCCTGGGTGCGCACGGGCTCCCGCCAGGCAGGAGTGGCCACCGTGCCCACGTCAGGCTCCTCGAGCTTGCCGAACCACTCCGTCCTGGCCAGGCAGAGCAGCTGAGCGGTCTCCCTGCCTTCCTCCTTCCGAGGCCTCGACTTGTGGGCGCGGTCCTTCACGCTGGGGAAGGTGATCATCATCGGGATATCCTTTGCGGGCACACCCAGCGGGTCGTTCATGTACCTCCGGACGCCATCGAAGACAGACATGCCCTGCCCCGCGGGCAGCAGTTCCATGTTCGCGCACTCCAGCTTCAGCTCGGCAGCGCAGCCCCTGATCCCGATGTTGGCCATGACGAAGCCGTCGCCCTGCCCGAGCTTGAGCTCGTCTGGGCTCGGGAAAGCCGTCCCCTTGCAGAGGCGAGCCGTGTTGCGCCACCCGCACGCAGAGACCACGCAGCACTTCGCCATCAGCCTGACGGCACCCGCATCCCTGGTCGTCTCGACGCCGACGGCCCTCCCGCTCCTCTCCTCCACGAGGACGCGGGCCACGGGAGCACGCACGAAGACGCTGCCGCCGCGGTCCTCGATCGCCTGCCACTGGCTGAAATAGGTTGGTTTATCACGAGTTCTGTGGGGGAAATGCAAACGGCGTTTGAGAACTGGCACACTGATCCCTACCGCGGAGTTACGTCTTTTGATCGGCGACACCTACGTTTCCGATCCAGCGATCGCCTGCGAAACGCACACAACGGCGCCAGACGACACTGCAATCGAGCAAGATACGGCGGGTCGTTTTCGAATATGGCTTGCTTTGGGCACGGAGTGCTTTTCTTTGGCACCAGACCAATGTCACGAGTCCGTTGCAAAACCTTGCGGCTTCTGCTGATGTCCACGGACACCCTATCTCTCTCTCTCTCTCTCTCTATCTCTCTCTCTCTTTGTTGTTTCTCTCCTCGCTCTCTCTGTCTCTCTCTCTCGCTTTCTTTCTCCCCCGTTTCTTTCACAGCCCTGCACGAGCGTGCTTTTTGCCTGGAGCGGGACTGCTCCTGAGCGGGAGTTGTCGAAGAACGTAATTCGCGAAGGCCCTCACGAAGGATACATGTCAGCGGTCAACACGCGAGCCGACCTTGAGAAAAGAGCGGCTCTGTCGTATAATCACGCCATGAGGCGCCGCTGCGACGTCGAAACGTGCAGACTCGAACCTCGCACATACAGGGCAAGTCCAGCAACCATACCCCTCCTGTCACCTCCTCTTCTCTCTCTCTCTCTCTCGCTCTCGCTCTCGCTCTCGCTCTCGCTCTCGTTGTGTGTTTCTTTCTCTCTTTCTCTCTTTCTCTCTCGCGCTCTCTCTCTCTCTCTCTCTCTCTCGTTGTCGATATACTCAGGTGCCTCTCCCTCTCGTACTGCATCTCCGTTTCCGCCAATCCCTCTTCTGGTTGCACCCGTGATGCAAGCAGCATCAGATCCGAAGAAGAACCGACTCCCGAAACCAGCTGAAAGGATAACTCGAAAGCTCCGCGAGACGGATGCCGAAGAGAGGCCGACGTGGCCCGTCGGAGAATACGGGGCGAAAACACGCCTTCTGGGCATCCCCTTCGCTTGCCCCCCTCCTTGGACTTCCGAGGTCCCGATGTAATCACGACGCGGGACCCCCGAGCCCCAGACCCCATCCCCGCGACAAGTTGCTTCTGGCTGGTCGTCTGATGGCCCCAGCCAGGGCCAGACAATGGCACCAGAAGCTAACGTTTGAGAGAAAAACGAGAGCAGCAAAAGTAGCGAACAGTTGTCGCGACGCCAGGAGGTCTGGGTCCTCGAAAGCCATCTAGCCAGAATTTCAACGACAGCCCAGCCGTGTCCATGAGGGCACCACAAAAGGCAAAATACACTAAAGAACCTCGATCCTCGACCGTCGGGGAGAAGGAGTAGCAGCATGGGCAGGAGCCAGAAGCCAGAGCTGCTTGCTCACTAAGTTTAAACTCGACGAGTGGGGCCGCGAGCCAAGAGAACGTGGCTTGGCACGACTGGCTGGAAAACCGTCGCAGGACCCTCCAGCCCTGCCTTAGGGAGCAGTGCAGGCATGGTGCATCACGCCGAGCGCAGGCTGGCTGGTGGGCGATGCATGCTGGCCGGAGTGGACATCGGCTCTGAGCCGTGATACGTGCTACGATCAAAACTGGCGATGAGGATGCGCGATGAGGATGCAAGGCCCTTGGACGCCTGTGTTGAAGCTTTTTCGAGCGCGGCGGGCCATCGAAAGCAGTCCGGAATGGACCAAAGAGGCACGGATGCAAGGGTACCCTTGGGAAGATTGCCCATCCCTACTGTCGATTTCGACTCTACCCCTTGCTCGGCCCCGCCCGCGCCCTGGTGGTGTGCGCGCGCCACAGGCAGGATGACTTCCGCCTCTGCTGCTGCTGCTGCTGCTGCTGCTGCTGCTGCTGCTGCTGCTGCTGCTGCTGCTGCTGCTGCTGCTGCTGCTGCTGCTGCTGCTGCTGCTGCTGCTGCCGTGTCCACCCTCTGCTCCCTTCACCACTCTGCAGCTACGAACTCCGGTGGCTTGCTATTGCCAGCTCGGGCGGCTTGCTCTTACAAGTTCCGGCGGCCCGTGCTTACAGATTCCGGTGGCTTCTGCTTACCTCTTTCCGAGACCTGCTCTGAAAGTCGTGGCCATCCTGTAGGCTGCCACGTCGCTCTTCGACCGACTGGCCGGCAGGGCAGGAGTGCGAGGAGGCGCTGGCCTGCACCAGCGTCGCGGCCATCTCCCCCGTGCCGTTCTCCGGATGGCCGGGTCGGACGAAAGGGGGGGGGATAGTAGAAGGAGGGCGTCGGCGGCGCGCCGAGGGGGTAAGTGAGAGGGGGCAGGCCATCTCTGGCCATCGCTCGCACGTCCATTCCCTGTGTTTTTGTTCGGTTCCGTGCGTGGTTTTTTCGCCAAATGATCAAGGATGCTCCTCGAAGGTCCTCGCCGAGGAAAAAATGCACACGTCCGAGCGATGCCAAGATCTGAGCCTTCTCAGACGTCCCGCCCCCTCTGCCTTGCCCCCTGGACGCGCCGCCCAACGTAGCCGGTTTTCCCCGCGCCTCCCGCCGCGGCAGGCGCCATTGCAGCAAGTAGAGCGCTCGGCGGCGAGGCCGAGCTCAGCTGCATACAGCAGATGTCGTGCATCACCGCTTCCCTTGCGGTCAAGAATTTCTGCCTGGCGTGTCGCGCCGGCGGCCCCGGCGACACGCTACTATGCCCTGCGAGCTGATTGCGTGTCGCTCCGCTTCGCGAGGCAGGAGGCTGGGTTAAGCTGAGAGCCGCTAACGCTTGGGGACTGGGACGTGCTGAGCGTGTCGCGAAGAAGCGTGGCAAGCCAGAACCAGCGGCGCGACACGTTGACGAGATGGCTTTCGGGGCATTACTCGGATCTGTGGCGGCCGTTCGGAGGATCCAGGCACCAGCAGCACGCCCAAGGCGAGGCGCAGCTGCTGGAGAGCATCCCGGGGCTGGAAAACCGACGAGAAGGGCGGAAAACATGTGATCGGCGATGCATCGGCGACGTCGGCGATGCATCGGCGACGTCGGCGTGGAGAAAATCGAGCTCCACGTCGAGCCACATCGCCGAGGCATCGGCGCTGCGGCGCCATCGTCCGACCGCAATCTGATCGGACCCTGCCTGGGAGGCCTGCAGCATCCCCCCCTCCTCGCCCGGCCACGAGATAGGCGCCGCCCTCGTGGGGGAAGCCGAGGCCCACCGCGGCGATCATGAAGAAGCTGACGGTGTCGGGGGCGCAGCCCGAGTCCTTGGGGCCCCAGGGGCCGAGATGCAGACAACGGCGGCCAGCAGATCGGCCAAACACAAGAGCGCCCCTGCACCCCTGCATGGAGGTAAGACGGCTTCTTCAACTAAGAACATGGACTTCATTCCAAGCGTTGTCGTAAACAGTAGTCCAGGCCCACACGGAAAAGAAGCTCCAAGAAAACAAACAGTGTCCAGTCCAGATTCTTGATTTATTAAACGAAATCTGGAGTCCATGAAAGTAAATGATCCCAAACAATGCCTGCACCTAGGGGTTCTTATTGGTTTTAGAAGGAGTTGGGCCTGTGTGTCGGTCTGGCGGCTGTGTAGTCGCCGTCGCCGCCCCGTCGCCGCCTCGTCGCCGCCCATCGTCTGGGCCTGTGCGTCGGTCTGGCGGCTGCGTAGTCGCTGTCACCGCCCCGTCGCCGCCGTCGCCGCTCATCGTCTGGGCCTGCACGTCGGTCTGGCGGCTATGTTGTCGTCGTCGCCGCCCCACCCCCCCCCACCCCCCAGCGTTATCGCTACCCCTTTCGGGTATGTAAATCACATATGATTATGACCACATGTCCATCCTAAATATGAAATCACAATGTCCCAGGCCAGTCGGTATCCCCCCCTGAAGTTCCCTTGTAAAAAAACACTATGCGGTGACATACTTGTTCTAACATAGCACGGTTTCGCGAATCCCTTGCAAAAAATGAGACGAAGTGCACACGCGCGCGCCGTCGCGTGCGCATGCCGAAATCCTTCAAAAACCTGCGGTGCTGGAAGGATTTCGCAATCGATTTCCAAAAAACATTCCAAAAAACAGAGTTTCGCAACACTGATTTGCTAAAAAAGCTTCCGCGCGAGCTCTTGCGAAAACTTAAGAAAACCATAGGTTTTTCAAGATTTTCACAAAATGCTATTAAACGGGCGTCGCGCGCGCATGTCGAAATCTGTCGAACGCCCTTGCGCGCGTGCCGTCGCGAGAATCCTGCGCAAAAAATGGGACGAAGTGCAGACGCGCGCGTCGTCGCGCGCGTATGCCGAAAACCTTCAAAACCCATCGGTTTCGGAAGGATTCCAAAATCGTGTCTCCAAAAAACCTTCAAAAAAACACAAGGTTTCGCAACACGGATTTTCAACAAAAGCGTGCGCGCGCGCTCTTACGTCGTCGTCGTCGTCGTCGCCGTCCTCCCTCCTGCCGCGTCGTCGTCGTCGTCGCCTACGTCGTCCTCTGTGTTTCCTCGTGTTCGTCGTCGTCGTCGTCCTCTTTGGCGTCGTGGTCGTTTCCGTCGTCGTTGTTGCCGTGGTCGTCCGTCCTCCTCCTCCCTCATCGTCGTCGTCGTCTGTCGTCGGCGTCTCGTCTTCGTCCCTCCTATTTCGTCGCCGTCGTCGTCGTCGCCGTTGTCGTCGTCGTCTTCCCTCCTCCCTCGTCGTTGTCGTCGTCGGCGCCGCCGTCCTTCCTCCTTCTTCGTCGTTCGCGTCGTCGCCGTCATCCCTCCTCCCTCGTCGTCGTCGTCGTTGTCGCCGTTGTCGCCGTCGTCGTCCTTCCTGCTCCCTCGTCGTCGTCTTCGTTGGCGACGTCGTCGTCGTCTTCGTCGTCGTCGGCGTCGGCGCCGTTGTCGTCGTCGAAGTCGTCGGAGACGTAGTCGGTGTCGTCGTAGTCGCCGTCGTCGTCGTCGTCGTCGGCGTCGTTGACGTCGTCGTCGTCGTCGTCGGAGTCGTCGTTGTCGTCGTCGAAGTCGTTGGAGACGTCGTCGGTGTCGTCGTAGTCGGTGTCGGCGGCGCTGTCGTCGTCGTTGTCGCTGTCGTCGTCGGCGTCGGTGTCGTGGCCAAGTGTCATGTGGTAATTACGTACCGTCACGGTCTTGTCTTAAGAGGTCTTGCGACCAAGTTGCGGGTGGGAGGGTGGGATGTTTGCACGCGCAATAAAGAGGACAGCGTCAAGACGGTCAACGATTAATTGCACAACATAAATTGCACCACATGCATCCCCAGGCCGAAAGCTGGTTCCCTCTTTCCGTAAAAATTGTAACAACACCAGTGGGTCCAATTGGCCCCCCTGTATACTGGTATTAACAAGTTCGTGGATCCTATTTCTGTGCTGCGCGGATCCAATTTGCCGTGTGCGAAAAACAATGGATCCATGTATTCGGCTGGACTAAATCCATAATGATGATGAATATCCTGGGCCCACAGGAAATTGGACCCACGGGGCACTGCACGTGAGACATAAAGTTATTCACATAACTATGGCTCTGCAGACCAATGTTATGACTCTACGGGGGAAATGTTTTCCAAGAGAGGGGAGGCAAGAGGAGCCAAGGGGAGGGGAGAGGAGGAGAGAAGGGGACGGAGGTGGGAGGGGGATGTAGGAGGACACGTGACGGAGGAGGGGGGGGGAGAAGGAGGAAGGAGGAGGAGGAGGAGGAAGGAGGAAGGCGGAGGGAGGGGGCAGGAGGGGGGAAGGCGGGAGAAGGGAGGGAGAGGAGGACGAGTACGAAAAAGAAGCAGAGGAGGAGAAAAAACGAGGAGGGCGAAGACAAGCAAAGTGCCAAGGTCCGAAGCTCGAGCGCCACAGAGGGCCCAGCCACCTCCCCAAACCCCTCCCATAACATGTGGGTGCTCGAGCGCCACAGCGGGCCTGGCCATCCCACAAGCTCCTCCCAAAACATACGATTGCTCGAACGCCACAGCGGGCCCGGCCAACTCCAGCATCTCCTCCCATCACATGCGGCACGCTCCGAGTCGAAGCGAGCGCAACATACATCCAGTCATCACTTGAACGGCACGGCGCTTCCGACATCTCGGACTCAAGAGGAAGATCTCTCGGCCCGCGCAAGCAGATTGCACAGCATAGACCTGCTCCGCATAGTTTGCGCACCACATGCTGGTAGAGAGCACAAGCCGTGTTGGGCCCACGCTGGCCTTATGTTGATGATGACGATGACGATGACGATGACGATGATGATGATGATGATGATGATGATGATGATGATGATGATGATGATGATGGTGATGGTGATGGTGATGGTGATGGTGATGTTGATGATGGAGAAGATGCTGATGATGATGATCAGCATCAGCATCTTCTCCATCATCGACATCATCATCATCAGCAGCAGCATCATCATTAGCATCATCATCATCATCAGCATCATCATCATCCTCATCGTCATCATCATCATCAGCATCATCAGCAGCAGCATCATCATCAGCATCATCACCATCATCATCATCATCATCATCATCATCATCATCATCATCATCATCATCATCATCATCATCATCATCATCATCATCATCATCATCATCATCATTGTCAGCATCATCATCCTCCTCCGACTCCTTCGGCTCCTCCTCCGCCCATCCTCCGCCCCTCCTCCTCCTCCTCCTCCTCCTCCTCCTCCTCCTCCTCCTCCTCCTCCTCCTCCTCCTCCTCCTCCTCCCCCCCCTCCTCCTCCTCCTCCTCCTCCTCGTCCTCCTCCTCCTCGAGATTATGATGGGTGCAGGCCGGAATGCCCCTCGGCGCGTGGACGGACGACCCTCGCGCGCGACCGGCCAGCGGCGGCCTGCGTGCCTGGCTCTGGCCCCCGCGCCCCCCCCGAGAGGCTGCGCACCGAGAGGCCCCTCCGTCGACGGGCCACCGCAGGGGTAGGACGACGACGACGACGAGGAGGAGCGAGGAGGAGCGAGGAGCGAGAAGGAGCAGGAGGACGACGAGGACGACGACGACGAGGAGGAGGATCGAGGAGGAGCGAGGAGCGAGAAGAAGGAGGAGAAGGAGGAGGAGGAGGAGCGAGGAGGAGCGAGGAGGAGCGAGGAGGAGCGAGGAGCGAGGAGGAGGAGGACGAAGAGGAGGAGCGAGGAGGAGCGAGGAGGAGCGAGGAGGAGGACGAAGAGGAGGAGGAGCGAGGAGGAGCGAGGAGGAGCGAGGAGGAGGAGGAGGAGGAGGCTGCGCACCGAAAGGCCCCTCCGCACGACGACCACGACGACGACGACGACGACGACGACGACGACGACCACCACGACAACGACGACGACGACGACCATGACGACGACGACGACGACGACGACGACGACGACGACGACGACCACGACGACGACGAAGACGACGGCGACGACAACGACGCACTGCCCGGCCACGCGCTAGGGCGGCCCTGACAAAAAGGTTGGCCTCTGGTGCGCGGCTTGCCGATCGCCGGATGCAGCCTGGAAAGCCGCGAGGACGGCAACTTGAGACAACAGCGGCTCTCCCGCCCGGCTCCTCCTCCTCCTCCTCCTCCTCCTCCTCCTCCTCCTCCTCCTCCTCCTCCTCCTCCTCCTCCTCCTCCTCCTCCTCCACTCCACATCGGTCCCAAGACCCCTCCCCGTGGTCCACCCTGACCCGTGTTTCGAGGCAGATCCAGCCGTGGCGGCGAGAAGCCTCCAGGAGGCTGAAACAGAACGAAGAAGAACCACAGGGAGGGCCGCCGCTGACTGGACGGGAAGCCTGGCCACGGGATGCAGCTCGGAGAGCTGGCAAGGATGGACACCGGGACGGATCGGGGAGCCGCTCTTGGGCGTGTTCTGGGAGGCGTTGTACCCTAGCCTCCTGCAGATTCATTTAGATTGGATCGATCCGTGAGGGTCCCGGGGCCCGAAACGACGCCAAATCGCCCGCGAGAAAATTGCGACGCCAGGGCCCCAGAGGAAGTCCAGGTTTCCTTCCGAGCCCCGCCACGCCTCTCCCTCCCTCCATGCAAGTCCACCTTCCGGAGTCGAAAGGAAAAACGGCCTCCTGGTCGGGCCAGCAGGCTCGGGCTACGAGTACGTTACTGGGCCAGGTCCCCTGCGTTCCTGTGGAGCTGCGGGCAGGCACCCGACGCCTCACCTTCTGGCCGTCGGTGCACCTCTGGAGGCGTCGGCGCGCCGCCCACGTCGGCCCGGCGGCCAGTTGATCCCAGACAGACGCTGCAGATTGAAGAAGAGCGTGGCACGCCTCCCCAGGCGCCCTGCGCCCCGACCCTCTGGACCTGGCCCACCAGGCACACTCCAAGAGGCAGAAAGCGAGCCTCGCCCTCCGCTCTGCGGGCCCTGCGCGAGGGGGCGCAGGGCCTCCTTGCGCGGGCGGCCCTGCGCGGGCCGCACGGCGCTTCTCTGCGCGCGCGCGGAGGAGAGCATCGACGTTCGGCGGTGGCGTCGGAGTGGCGCGAGGGCGGGGACGGCAAGGGCCCCGGCCCTCCGCCGACGGCGACGACGACGACCACGACGACGACGACGACGACGACGACGACGACGACGACGTTCCAAGCCTCGTTCTTCGATCCACGCGTTTTCTCTCCCTTCCTCTCGGCCTCTGGGGGGCCACCGTGGGGCCCTGGAGGCCTGGGCCTAGGATTAAGTCGGGCCTGTCCCCCTACAGGGGGATTTGGGACGAAAAATTAAAAATACCCCAAAAACACTCCAAAGATGCTCGAAAATAGTCAAAAGATAATCCCCAGACTATTTTTTTACTATTTTTGAACATTCCCCCTGTGGAGGGACAGGCCCGACTTAAGCCTAGGGCGCAGAACTGCTCTCCCTGGGAAGGGGTGGGGAGCTCTGGGGCCACGGACAGACATCAACAGATCCGAGGACGCCTGGGTCGGAATGTGAGCAGGCGGACGGGCCGGGCTTCGGGGCCATTCGACCCTGGAAGAACGGCCCAGCGCGGAGCCTCGGACATCGCAAGAAACTTGCAGCATCGTTGAAAATCACGGTCGGAACCCGGACCCAACTTGCTGCGGGGTTTCTCGAGCCAGATCGAGCCGCGAGGATGTCTGAGGCCTCAGCAGCACCAATATGGCGGGAATCGGCCGATGTCTCGGCCAGCGCCCGCGCGGAAAGGAGGGCGCTCCCTTGCGACCTCTGACGTGCAGCTCACGGGCGAATGCTCGCGCGGCTTGACCCCCTTCCCTTCCTGTCGCCCAGTGGCGTCCCCGACATCATCTCGCTGCTTTTTCCTATTTTCGATCTCTGGGGGCCCTCACTTGGCCCAGGAACCACCCAAAAACGACTCAGGATAAAAGACCGGTCCTGGGAAAGAGGTCCAGACATCTGGGAACGCCGCGAAAATTCAAGACGGAGGACGTCTGCTTTCAACTGCCCTGAGGTCCAGGAACAGACCGCACAGGTACGCCTGCATCTTGATGACGTTCTCCCGCTCCGACTCGGGGGCGTCCGCGAAAAGCTCCTCGAAGACGTCCTTGGCAGAGCGCCCCGCGTAGCGCCACCACGCGGAGGGAAGCAAGACGGGCAGAAGGACCCGCTTCACGCTCCACGGGAAGGCGTGCAGCGCCGACCAGATCGGGAACGCCTGCAGCAGCTGCGTGCTGACACGCTCGAAGCGCTCGAGCTGGGGGACCAGGTTAGGAAACCGCGCGCGCATGTCCTTCTTGAGCGCCGTGTCCGAGATCACCCTCAGCTCGGCGTCCCCCGCCCTCGACAGGCGCACGCGGTCGTAGGCGCCGTCGTGCAGCACCGTGTCGTCGCCCATGCGCGCAAAGCGCACCGGGGGGCGAGCGGCGCCGCACGACACCTGCAGCATCTCCTCGCTGGCGGGGATGGTGTAGTGCAGCCCGGAGGGGAACTTGTAGTCCGTCTTTCCGTCGACGTTGTAGTCGTGCGTGGAGCCGCCCGCCACCTCTCGTAGAGAGGGGCAGCTGAAACGAGGGTCGCCGTTCATGCTTCGGGGGGGCCTCGTCGCCACGGCTGAGCCCAGCTCGGAGACATGGTGCGACTTGAGCCCAGGAGGGGTCCGGTGACCGATTCTGAGCGGGTATGGGCTGGGAGGGAGGGCACCATGGTCTCGCTGTCATTGTCTCAACTGGCCCTCATCCCTCTGAGGCAGCTCACGAGAGCCTCCCATGCCATGCTGCTGGCTCTTGCGCGGCGACGCTAGCCGACGCTAATCCACGCCAAATCGAGGACAGTGGACGCTAAATCGGCGCTTTCTCTTTGGCTACCAGACGCTAGCGCATGCAAATGCACTCTCAAGATGGAGATTCGAGGACATCCAAGGCTCCCATGAGCTGCTCCCGAATCGTCCGAACCTCGTGCGCCTCAAGGACCATGACCTTGTAGCCGAGCTGCGAAAGCACCGAACCGCACGTCAGCCCGCCCATGCCGGACCCGACGATGATCACGTCCCACGGGCCCTTCTCCTCGGCCGCCTTGGCGGAGAAGCGCACTTTGGCGCACGACCGCGACCGCTTCTCCGGCGGGGCCCACCCCTTCGGCTGCAGGAGCGGCACGCCCAGGTAGGCAAGCAGCAGCCCCGTCACGGCGCCCGCCGCCGGGGCCAGCGCGGCTCCCGCCGCCAGCCAGAGGGAGCGCTGGTTCCTGGCCAGCGCCTGCACCAGTGGGAAGCGGCCGTGGCGGCCCAGAGCAGGCACCACCGACAGGCCCAGCAGGGTAGCGCCTGCTCCGCCGAGCAGGGACATGCCGAACAGCCACGAGAACATCGTGGCGAAGTCCTGCACCCCCTCGTCCTCCTTTTTCCTCGCCATGGCCCGCAGCGAGCGTTGCCCCGGCCTTGCGGTTCCTACGCTGACCTGGTGTGTGAGCCACCTTTTGGCTGAGGAGCCACCGCCCTCTCGCCTCCATTTTTTCGAATAAGAGGCCGACTGCAGAATTCAGGCGACCTCAAAACTGATTCATTTTCGTCGACTCCACAAAGGAAGCGTAGAATGTCCGTAGAACGACGCACTCCACCGATGTCTCGTGGATCCGACGAAAAATACAAGCCTGGGGCAAATGAATTATGTAGTCGATCTCCTGCCCGAATCCTCCCTTCGCCTCCCTCCTTCTCCCCAAGATGAAAGCACAGCGGTGTGCCGGCCGGCTCGGCACAAATACTAAGACGAACCATCAGGGTTCCTCTCGGGATATCGCCTCGGATACAGCGGTCAACCATACTCAATAGACGCGAGCTCCACCCTACACGCGTGCGAATGTACACTTCGACGTGGCATGCGCACCATCCATCTCTCCATTTCTCCTCCCTTCCTTCACGCTCGTACTATCGTCATTCTTAATGTTCAATATGTATATATATACACACATAAATGCTACTACGATCGTTAGTAGCATTATAAGAACCACTCATAGATATGATTTGCACTACGCTTCATACTATGTTTTGCGTTGTTCCGATTATCATCAGGAGCACACTTATCCTTACGATGTCCGTGCGTTTCTAATATTATTACCGATCGTTGTATGATTGCTTGTCTTAGTGTTTGCATTGGTACCCTTACTGTTCTTACCAGTAGCGATCTGAACATTAGCGTTATTACCCCCGCGTTACTAGCATTATTACGATTTCTTCGTAGCAACAAGATTGGTATGGCAATGATTCGTCGTACTTTTGTTATTACCCCGGCAAGGCAACCTAACAGCGATGTGTATAAGCATATCTGGAAGCATTCCCGTTAAGATTCAGGTGAGAATCCAGTTGTAGAATTCTGCTGTTCTCGCAGTCGCAGTCGCATTCGCAATGACAGTCGCAGTGGCAACGGCCTTAGGATCCAATGGAATCCTAAGGATTACTATGGATTCCTAAGGCATCCTTAGGCATCCTTAGGAATCCATCAGAATCCTTAGGAAACCTTAAGAATCCTTCGGAATCATGATTCCTAGGGATTCCTGGGGATTCCTACGGATTCCTAGGGAATCCTAAGGATTCCTAAGGGTTCCTGAGGATGCTTAACTGTGCCTACGGATTCCTGAGGATGCCTACGGATTCCTAAGGATTCCTGAGGATTCCTATGGATTCCTACGGATGCCTCAGCTTGCCTCAGTTTCAGCCTCAGCCTCAGCCTGCCTCGGCTTGCCTCAGCCTCAACCTCAGCCTGCCTCGGCCTCAGCCTCAGCCTGCCTCAGCCTCAGCCTCAGCCTCAGCCTGCCTCAGCCTCTGCCTGCCTCAGCCTCAGCCTCAGCCTCAGCCTCAGCCTCAGCCTCAGCCTGCCTCGGCTTGCCTCAGCCTCAGCCTCAGCCTGCCTCGGCCTCAGCCTGCCTCGGCCTCAGCCTGCCTCAGCCTCCCCTCCTCCTCCCCCCCCCCCTCACCTTGTCTCAGCTTCGGCCTGCCTCGGCCTCATCCTCAGCCTCAGCCTCAGTCTCAGCCTCAGCCTGTCTCGGCCTGAGCCTGCCTCGGCCTCAGCCTCAGCCTGCCTCAGCCTCAGCCTCAGCCTGTCTCAGCCTCAGCCTGCCTCAGCATCAGCCTCAGCCTCAGCCTCAGCCTGCCTCGGCTTGCCTCGGCCTCAGCCTCAGCCTGCCTCGGCCTCAGCCTCAGCCTCAGCCTGCCTCAGCCTCAGCCTCAGCCTGTCTCAGCCTCAGCCTGCATCAGCCTCAGCCTCAACCTGCCTCAGCCTCTGCCTGCCTCAACCTCAGCCACAGCCTCAGCCTCAGCCTCACCCTGCCTCAGCTTCAGCCTCAGCCTCAGCCTGCTCGGCTTGCCTCAGCTTCAGCCTCAGCCTGCCTCGGCCTCAGCCTCAGCCTCAGCCTCAGCCTGCCTCAGCCTCAGCGTCAGCCTCTCAGCCTCAGCCTGCATCAGCCAAGCCTCAGCCTCAGCCTGCCTCAGCCTCAGTCTCAGCCTGCCTCCGCCTCAGCCTGCGTCAGCCTCAGCCTCAGCCTGCCTCAGCCTCAGCCTGCCTCGGCCTCAGCCTCAGCCTGCCTCGGCGTGCCTCAGACTCAGCCTCAGCCTGCCTCGGCCTCAGCCTGCCTCGGCCTGAGCCTGCCTCAGCTCGGGTATTCAAAATATGGCACAGGACTGGTGTTCTGGGAACACGAAGATCACGAAGTGGCCCACAGCTGGCTCCGGGCAGTTTAAAAATATAGTACAGGAGTGGTGTTCTGGGAACACGAAGAACACGAAGTGGCCTACGGCTGGTTCCGGGCATTCAAAATGTGGCCTGGGAATGGTGTTCTGGGAGCACGAAGAACACGAAGTGGCCTATAGCTGGCTCTGGGCATTCAAAATGTGGCCTGGAAATGGTGTTCTGGGAACACGAAGATTACGAAGTGGCCTACAGTTAGCTCCGGGCATTCAAAATGTGGCCTGGGAATGGTGTTCTGGGAACACAGAGAACACGAAGTGGCCTTCAGTTGGCTCCGGGCATTCAAAATGTGGCCTGGGAGTAATGTTCTGGGAAGTCCCCGGATCCCCCCCGGCACCCGCCCAAACCCACCTGGGAAGTCCCGAGGAGTCCCCGGATTCTCCCAGGCATCCGCCCAGACCCCCCTGGGGAGTCAAGATGTTCTCTTCTGAGCCCACTAGAAACCTATCAGTCTTCGCTGTCAGGTGTTGTGTCCCATATTCTTATGCGCATTCGTCTTCTCGCTAGTATACATATGTGTCCTCGACCAGCGACCGGCCCTGCAAACGGCGCGATGGCGGTGAAAGGGGCGGGCGACGTTGACGGCCCCTTTACGGGCGGCGGAGACGGGGGCCCTGTAGCGCAGGGGCCCGAGTCGCTCCCAGGAACTTGATGCCCCAGGGAGGCGGGTGGCGTGGGTTGGTCAAAATCGGTCGAAGACCTGAACCCACATAGCCACAGGCATCGCGCAAAATGGGTTGGTACACGCTTGTGCCAGCACACGGTGGCGCATCCTCGAACAGCCCTACAAGCAGCGCGATGGCGGTAAAAGAAGGGGGTGGCCTTTAACAGGTGGCGGAAACGGGGGCTCTGCAGCGCAAGCCTGGGCCCGAGACACTCCTAGCAACTTGATGCCCCCCCTCTGCGATGGGAGCGGGTCGCCAAGGAAGGGGGGGGCGAAAGCCCGGAAGCGTGGGGCGCGGACCCCTGGGCCCCCCACTGGGACGCTGCCAGCGTGAAGGCCCGCCACCACACCCTGCTCCCCACGCCCCGTCTCTCAGGCACCACCACCCCCGTTAGCGCGCCGTGCTCTGCGCGAGAGGGCGTGGGCACGGTCTCGAAGCCCTGCCAACCCTCCACGAGGCCCTCCGCGGCCGGGGGGCCTCCATCCTGCCCGGGACCCCCCCGCCTCCGCGGCGGAGAGAAAATGGGATCAGGAGGCGAAGGGGGGAGGCCCGCCCCACGGCGGCGCCCACCAGAGCACAAGGGTTCGAGACTAACCCGCGGGCGCGCTGTAGGTCCTCGCGCGGCGCCCCGCCCCGACGGGCCGCACGGGGCCCAGCGCGCGGCCCGCCACCGTTTCCAGCTCCGCCCGCGCGACGTCGTCAGAGACGCTGTCACTGCGGCGCCAAGCACGTGCGCCCGCGGCCGCCCTGGCCGCGCCCCGCCGCGCGCGCTCTACCAGCGGCGGCCGCCCTCTCCGACGATCGACTCGCAAGGCTCCTGGGAAGCCTGCATCATCTCGCCGAGCACGCGCCACTTCAGGTCCGCGGCCGCCACGTGGATTCTGAGGGACTTCTCGAATTCTTCAGTCCTCATGTTCCTGAGGTCGTCCGCCTCATGGTTCTCCTCGCGCGGTAGCCAGTCTAGGCTCAGCGCCACCCTGCGCGCCCTCAGCTCCTCTGACAACTCGACGAGGAGAACCGTCAACGGCCACTTTGTGGACATGGCCCCAGGCGCTTCCCAGGTTGTCCGTCGACCCCGCCATCTTGATGTTCGCCCTCTGGCGGCGCTCTCCGGGCCTCGCCAACAGCTTCGCGCAAGGGATCGTGCCATGGAGCTCCAGCACCACGATGGCCCTGCTTGGGCCGTTTGCCTTGGCCCACGCCGAAGGGAACCATCTTTTCTTCAACCTCCAGCGCGTACCAGCGAGGCGCCTGCCCAGCGTCGCCCCCCCTCCGCCTTCGGGTCCGAGCGGGAGTGCCCGGCGCTCGGGACTCTGACCTTGATGGGCGCCTCCAGTCTGCGCCCAATCGCCAGTCGCTCACCGATCCATGTCAGCACGAGCCCAGTCGCCCACTGTAGGGAGGCCCTCCTCTCATCTGCCTTTGCGCCGCTGGTGGGCCAGGCGCGCACAGGCCCCGGGAGGGGCCTCTCCCAGGCAAGGACCGTCGCCGCGGAGCCCAGACGCCCCAAGCCCGACGCCAACTCGCCCGCGCGGACGGCGCCGCTACCCAAGCCGACGATGGGGCACCCCGAAGGCCTACGGTCGGGAAGGTTTGCTTGGCATGTCGCCGCGGCGGCCCCGGCGACACGCTATGCCTTGCGAGCGGGTAGCGTGTCGCTCCGCTCCGCGGAGGGGGAGGATCGGGAAAGCTCGGGACGTTGACGCTCGGGGACTGGGAAGCGGACAGCGTGTAGCACCTAAGCGCGGTGGGCCAGAAGCAGCAGCCCGACACGCTAGGTCCTGGCAGTCGTCCGGGCCTGGTAGCCACAGCGCCCCTGGGGCAGCGTCGCAAGGGCCGCCGCAGCCCCTCCGCAGCCGGCCGAGCAGGCTGCAGCACCTCGCCGGGCGCGGGCCCGCCTCTCCTCTTCCTCCTTCCCTTCCTCTTCCTCTTCCTCCTCTTCCTCCTCCTCCTCCTCCTCCTCCTCCCCTCCTACCTCCTCCTCCTCCTCCTCCTCCGCCCTCCTCCTCCTCCTCCTCCTCCGCCTCCTCCTCCTCCTCCTCCTCTCCGCCTCCTCCTCCTCCTCCTCCTCCTCCTC